AACATAGCTACTATATCCAGGCAAAGTTAATCAGTTGCTGCTCCCCAATGAGATACAGTAATAAAACTGGGAAAATATATTCCATACCATCATTACTACAAGTTTCATTAGTCAACAATTAATCAATAATTTATACATAGATATAAATAATCAAATGTTAGAGAAATGTTCATGTTACAGATCTCCCTTACATTTCACTTTCCTTTCCCACGGAAGTAAACATGAAAGAAAGATGCATGTCTAATAACTAGATATTGCAACAAAAGCAAAATTAGTTTGAAACATCAGAACAGCAAGGATGCTGACCTCCATTGAAGAATTTACAGAGGGTGTTCTGACAAACAGTTGCATACATGTAAATGTGCTACTAATTTTCTGTCTACAAAGACAATAATTTTATCCATTAATTTGGTAGGCTGTCTGAGAAACAGAAAGCAGATTATCACAATCTGCATTTGCATTTTTTCAGCAACTAATTGGGACATAATGGGTATTCAAAGGTCAATATGGTCATCAGTAAATTACTAAGATGATTGTTTCTGTCTTCCCTTAAAATGTCCTTTTGCTTTTAAATGACTATTTTTTTTCTGAGAACACCATACTAATAAAATGAATCACATCATGCATTAATTTTCCTTTCAGTTAAACCACACTTAATGCTCATGTTAAAGTGAGGTAACTAACATTCAATATGGATTTTTGAACATAGATCTTTTTAACATTTATATTTTAGTATATTTTATTAATCTAGGTGAAATAATATGTATTTCTACTGTAATCCATGTGTGATATGCCTTATGCTAAATAAATAATAAATCCAACATGAACTATACAAAAAAAAAAGAGAATTACAGGTTGCCCTCACTTAACTATGGCAACTGGACTAGCAAACTCTGTCACTAAGCAACATGATCATAAAGCACAACATCATGTGACCATCCTGACTTATGGTAGTAGTTGAGGCAGTCCCGGTTGTTGTCCTTAGTTGAATCTGCCTGTGATGAGCAAAAAATACCTTCACTAAATGACTATCTCAGCCACATTCTCAAGATTTTAAATACCAGGTAGTCCTCAACTTACAACAGTTAATTCAGTAACCATTCAAAGTTAAACCGACACTGAAAAAAGTAATTTATGACCACTTTTCACAGTTACAACCTTTGAAGCATCCCCATCATCATGTGATCAAAATTCAGATGCTTGGCAACTGGTTCTTACTTAAGGCTGTTGCTGTGTCCCAAGGTCATATGATCAGCTTTTGCAACCTTTGGACAAGCAAATTCAATAGAGAAGCAAGATTCACTTAACAACTGGGTTACTAACTTATCAACTTAACAGCTGTGGCAAGAAAGTTCGCAAAATGGGGCAAAACTCACTTAACAAATGTCTCACTTAACAACATAAATTTTGGGCTCAATATTTGTAATCCACATATCCAACACCTAACACAGACACCATCTTCCTCAAAATGTAGTTATTAGGGTTGTGCACTGTTTTATATTTGAAGACAAAAAGATATTTAGGGGTATGCAAAATAACTTATACAGCTCCATCCATAACTTGATAAAATAAGTCATTTAATGGCATCACATAACTGCTCACTGCAGCTGACAAGCAAATCTAAAAAATAAATATTTCTTTAAGAATTGCAGACAGATATTATGTGTCCCATACATTACCAAGTAGATTTGCCTTCATCTAAACAGGTAGTCCTCGGCTTACAACTACAATTGAGCCTAAAGACTGAGGTTTTAAAATGTATCTTTTTTCTTGTCTTAAGGATTTCCTTTTTTAAATAAACCAGAAAAGACAAGACAAAAATCTGGTTGTTGTATCCCATACTAGTGAAAGTTTTGCACGAACGAGCTGGGAACATGCTTTACCTAAAACTAATTGAATTCCTTTATCTCTGAATGCAACACTACTTAGGGTCATTTCCCTTTTTATTCAGTCAGTTTTTATCAGCTTTCCAGTGAAATGCCAACCATTTTTCAACCTTAAGTCAAAACATTTATTTATTTGTAGCTCACCTTCATTATTTCTACAAATAACTCAACGTCGCAAACATATCTAACACACCTCTCTCCTCCTATTTTCCCCACAACAATAACCCTGTGAAGTGGGTTGGGCCGAGACAGAGGGTCTGGCCCAAACTACCCAACTGGCTTTCATGGCTAAGGCGAGACTTGAATTCAGAGCCTGCTTTCAATCCTGTTGCCTTAGCCATTAGATATTTTCCCATTTCAATCCAATTATCTATAAAACTTTTGCTCTTTCCTTTTACTTTTCTACAAATTACCATTTTTCATGTAAAAATACAATAATTGTGCACTGCCTAAAATTGAGCTCATGAAACTCCTAATGGAAAAAGGTAAGATAGAAGTGCTAAAAATGGTAAAGTTCAAGCTTTCCAGTTTGTGAAAAATCTTTTCATTTTATGATCTTAGATAACTTAATGACACTGCTGTTTCAGATTAAACTATGCATTTTAATTTTTAATGCTTTAATGTTTGTACTATTGTAACTGCTCTTGTTTTTCTAAATTTTGTTCACTGCCCAGAGTCATTTGGTGAGATGGCTTAGCCATGTAAAACAAATAAACACATAAATAAATAAAGTTCAGGTTATTTTACCAAACTAAATTGTCTCAGGTTCTCCCAAATACTCCACAGATAAAAATCGGTATGACATTTAAAATAAAAGAACAGAGCATATCCTACAGAAATTATGATGTCTTCCCTAGTTAAAATGAATGTTTCTTTATTAAAACATTAAACTGTATTTCTTTCCATAATAATAGTTTCAAGCTTAATCTCTGTTCAAACATGGTACCATTTAGTGACATTCAGCCCCAACAAGCCACTTCAAGGTAAATTTGGAAAGCTCTGGATTATGTCACTCAATGTGGAAGATTCAAAATCGAGAAGATGAGAGGTAGTCCTTAACCTACAACTATAATTGAGCCAAGAATTATGCTCATCAGTCATGCTGGTCATTAAGCAGGTCACCATGTAAGTACACCCAATTTTATAAGCTTTTTTACAGTGGCCATTAAGAAACATGGCAGTTGTGAAGCAAACTCATTGTTTGCAATGTCTGTTTTTTGCTGGAAACCACCAGTAAATGCTGGTTTCCGGCAAAAAACCCCATCATAAATCATGGTCGTGTAACTGCATGGATGGTGCAAATGGCCGTAAATGAGAAGCTGGTTTCCGAGTACCCAGAATGCAGTCGTGTGACTGGCGGGAATTAATCATCAGAACTTTAATCCGGATTGTAAGTAGTTTGGGGAAGGGGATCTGTTCTAACTTTGAATTGTTACTAAGCGATTGGTAATAAGTCGACACCTTATTATATATGCACACACACAGAAGACATGGCAGCAGTGACCACATGAATTGCCTATTAGTTTAATCCAGTGTTTCTTAATCTCAGCAACTTTAAGATACCAGGCAGCATGCATACTATACAAACTCTAAGAAACACTGGTTTAACTAATTTGAAATCTTTCAGCATTTAAGCAAATAGCTAAATGGTGCTCAAAATGGATTTGTAACAATCATACGAAGAAATTATTTCAGAAATGTATAATGTTTAGCATTGGAAAGCTCAATAGCTACGAAGGAACACACTATATTTAGGTCTTACTTAATACAAATGGAGAAAAAAAATGTCTAAAATCAAAACAAAATAAAGCATATTTTGTTATTCTCATAGGTGCCAAAATGACAAATGAAATCTTGAATCTATGGTGTGGAGCTTACTTTCTTCCAGGACTTCTTCCCTCTTTCTCCCACAGCAAAATATCTGTAGTTGCTCTTCCTTTTCTTCCTTCAGTTACAGCACATATACGGCTTGCATTCAGTTGCATACATGGCTTTTCATGGCAGCTGATTGAGCCAGTGATGAACCCTACTTTTGCCAAATGGCTCCTGCCAGCTTCAGTGCAAGTCTTTCACAACTAATGGCCTCCTGATCACACTGCTGAATACTCATGCTGCTCACAGGCCACTCATAATGACTGCACCGCTTTTGTGTAGAACTTTTTTTTCAAGGATTAAAAAAAAAAGAGCACAACTCATCCCTATATCACCACAAACCTTGAAGGGTATGTGGGTTTTGCAGGGACCTTTTGTGGTGCTGCAGGCTGCTTATACTTCACTCTGCTGGGAGTAATTAAAAAGAAACACTAACACGCAGTGATACAACTGAGAGGCTCCTCATTCGAGACTATGAAAGAACTGTGCCTAATGGAGAAAACTGTGCCTAATGGAGTCACATCATGCAAATGGAACAACTCTCTGCTTTTCCAGATCAGCAAGCAGTTTTGAAGACCAGCAGCTATGAGAAAGCCTCATAGAGCCTCCCAATTGAGCTGACCCAATGACATCCGGTACAAGCATGCAAGAAGGTGAAGGCAGTACAAATATATTGCAGCACTAACTTTTATAAAGCCCACCCACACAAAATCCTATCATTTTTGTGAATGTAAAGAAAAAAAGAAAGTAAGGAAAAACCACAGATGCAAGACAATCTTTATGCATATACTTAGAAGTGGTTCTCGAAAGCTTCCTGTATTAATCTACTTATTAAGTTTGAATCTCAAAGACAGATATAAATTTTGCAAAACCTTTTACTCTGAAATATCAATGGGATTTATGTTGGTTTTTCACAATCAACACTTACTACTGCAGAATTCTTTAAAGAAACAAAATAAAAAAAAACTGCATTCATTCTATTTTGGGCCCTTATATCACCCACATACACATAATAAAGAGAAACAGCAGTCCTTGTAGAACTAATTCCTATTTTCCTGCAGCTCAAAGCTGCAGCTATCAACACAGTGATGAGCCTTAGAAATACTTTGACAGATAGATATAGAACAGCAGGTGTACTTTTGCCTTGTCAGGCCATTTCGCATGGAGACAATGTCAGCTTGGCAATGTAACAAGTATCTTTACATATTCTGGAAAGAATAAAAATGTTAATGTAACACTTACGATCAAGCCCATTGACATATCTCATTGTAATTTCACAGTGCCCCCATACCGCACTGACTATGGGATACAGTTTTTTCCCTTTTAAGCCCCTGAAGGCCACTCCAAGATACTGTCCATCCACGATGAAGCTAAGGGTTCCTTCATCCATATCCAAAACCACCAATAAGGAGTCTGGAAGTACAAAAGACTCATCTGGTTCCAAAAACACAGGATAGGTCACTCCAGGCTGGTTTTTGCAATTGTGGTAAAGTTTGTTCCGTCCAAGATCCCAGCCCCATGATTCACTATTGCTACCAACCAATGATGTATATCCTACAGAATGCAAAGGGGCTTCTGCTGTTGAGATCCCAACTACTGCATGTGTTCCTCGTTGCCTTGTGGGCCAGTGAATCTGCCAAACATGGAGTCCCCTTGTGTAGCCAACTTTTCCCCTGATGCAATCTGTGCTTTGGGCAACCGGGTGTCTATGAAAGGTTAGTCTGTCATCTTCCTTCACAAATATATTTAAAGATCGATCGTCATTGTTCCAAGCATGTTTGTATTGGATCTCCAAGTGGGCTGGGGGCATATCTAGCAACATATCCAATCGTGCAGGCTTGCAGAAATCTGGTCCCCTCAGTTCTCGTTTAACTGGTCTATATGGGGGATCCCGAACATCCACAGACTTTATGCTCCCTGAGATTTTTTGGCCCATCGCTCAGCTGCAGTTTGCTTGGTTGCAGGGAGTGAAGGGTAGATGTGGGCCCAGTCATGAAAGCTCTTTCAAGCTGAGCCAATGATTCATTATGCACCAACTTGATTTACTCCTTTCTGGACTCTTTCAGAGCCAATGTTTTCTGAAAACACACTTCTGAAATAAAGCAGAAAGTCACCAGTTAAAAAGTAGCCAAATTATAAACCACATAATTATTCTTTCAAAAAAAAAACAGAAAGAAAAACAGGAGAAGGGGGATTTGTGCCAAGTTGCTTTAAAATTAAGACTTAACTATTCTCAGCCTCATGGCCTTTGTACTTCAGTGCTTGTTAGCCAGACTGTCAGCTGGATATATTGAGTCTACAGTTTAAGAGCACAGACAGTCATTTCCTTTTTCCACAACAGACATTCCACACCTTTTGCCCTTCCACCCAGAGTCTAGTCAAGAGGGATGTGACACTGTACAAACAGCTTGCCCCTATTATCAGGTATTTTCATTTCTAATTCTTTATTTTACCTTAAAGACATGCTTTATGCAAACATTCACTTTTACCTCTTTCTCTTATTAAATCTACCTTTTATTCCAAGGAGATGCAGACAAGCAAAAAAAAAAAAAAATGAAACCACTGTGTTTCTATAAAAATATGTAAAGCTTAACATCTTAACAATTAATATAGCTTTCGAAAGAGAGGTGGGGGTAAAGAAATTTATGTAGGTGTTTTTTGATCAGCAAGTCCTATGAATTGTTTTGTTTTAAAATTAGAAGCAAAGCTATTAAGAAGTATTGTTGCTATATTGAACAACTTATTCCATTATATCACATTGGACCCCAACATTACATAGTTTTGGTATAATTCCCTTATCATAGAATTTTCTCCCCAATGTTCAAGCTTTTTAATCATATTACTATAAAAGAAGCATACAATTTCATAACTATATTCTATATAAAGAATAATATATCATGATTTGTATGGAAGAGCTGTTCTGCAAGTAAAAAAAATACTCTGATTAGAACTACAAAATACACTATTCAGATGAACGTTTCTAGACTCCAGATAATATATATTGAATTATGATGTTAATTGGAACTGGAATTTCCATCACTAAGCAATGCTGTTGTTAGACAAAACATCACACATTCACATTGCTTAGCAATGGCAATTCCAAAACTCGGCTTTGCTGTTATTAACTGAATCCTGCCAGTAGTTCGGTGAGGATTCAGCCCAAGCTAGGTCATTTTTTGGCATTTTTTCTTTCAGTCCCAAACTTCAGTATGATAAGGGATCTCACCACTGCTGCCTATCTCCTCCCCATCTTTGTCCATTGGTTGCCCTTCACAGTGGTATTCTTCAGCGCAGTGGTGGCACAGTTAGCATGTCCTATTCTTGTGATGCTTTGGAAGGCCTCAGAACCTTTTTGAAAGCTTTCCAAACATCCTGATAATGGAGCATAGTATTTTCTGAATGGAAGGTGCACCGTTCTTGTATTGCTTCAGAAGGTCTTAGCTATATAGGGCAGAGGTCTCCAACCTTTTGAGCACTAGGAACCGGTTTCATGGACAGAAGTTTTTCTGTGGACCGGAGGGGGCATGGTATCATGTACTGCCTGCATCCCACAGATGGGATGGGGATTTGTTTGCATGGTCCGATTTCTGGCATGCTGCGGCCCGGTGCTGGTCCACAGATCAGGGGTTGGGGACCCCTGATGTAAGGTATCCAAAAAGAGCAGAGATGGCGGGAGTGCTAGGTGGGTTTGTGGGAACTGAAGGCCTCTGCATTTATAAGTGCAGGTAGGCTCTCAAGTTTTCAAAGTTTGATCATGCAACTATGGGGATGCTGCATGCTGGTGCTCAGGAACTAAGTTTATGTACCATTCATTCAATGCCTCCATAACTTCAAACACTCAATGAAAAATGGTCATAACTCAAGAATTACCTGTACAATAACAGTAAAACAAATTTATTTCACAAATCTGAGTTCCATATTCAGTTCCATTATGCCTTCCTATCATATTGTCTTATTAAGGCTATTTAATTACATAATTCAATTATATATTACACTGTGAGTAAACATTCTCACAAATTATGGTTGGCACCTCCTAACTGACCTATTTTTTTAAAAAAAATTAAACATGGTCTTCTCTAAAATTCTCTTAGCTTGATTTTGAATTGCAAACATTTCATTACCATATTAGATACTATCATCGATAAAGATGTGGAACAGTAAAGTTTGATGGCTGGCAAATGTTATGTATGTATATTTACGCTAGGTTATTTGTAAAACTACCTTTTTTCCATTATTTCTGCTTTATCCATAAGAACTAGCAGAGAGGGCATGCACTGGATCCCATTATTAAACAGTCATCCTGTTGGAACCAAGAGTTGTGCCTTTTATGTGGCAGCACCTGCCTTATGGAAAAACACCTCTCCCCCCACCTCCAAGATCCAGATGGTGTCAACTGTGTAAACTTGACTATCTCCCAGGTATTTGAGCCAGGAAGTTAGGCAAGCTCTGTTATTTATGTGGTTTTAGGATTGAAAGATATCATTTGTGAGCATCATGAGCTTTTTAACTGTTTTGCATTTAATTTTTGTACAGCGCTCAAAGTCACTGTTGTAAAATGGGTACATCTGATGGTTGTAATTTCCCAGGATCATGTGATCACCCTCTGTGACCTTCCCAGCTGACTTCAGAGAAGCAAAATTAATGAGGGAAGCCAGATTCACTGAACACAATGTGGTTCATTAACAACTGCAGTGATATAATAACAACCTTGGCAAAAAAGGCTGTAAAATTGGGTACAACTCACTCAACAATTGGCTTGCTTAGTCACAGAAATTCTGATCCCAATTGTGGTTGCAAATCCATCAACCTGTAAAGTTCTGTTATGAAAATAAATGTTATTTGGAACTAGTATTTGGATGGCGACCTCTAAAAAAGCTACGGGGTAGAGCTTTGAAAAATTAAAAAAAATAAAAAGAAATAAAACCATCATGGACGAGTGCAGTTGAAAATCATTTCTGTATAGTTGCCAAGAAAACATGTAGTGATCAGTAGCTGAAATCAGCTCAGGGGAGTCTTTATCTTCCTATAAGACTGGAAGCTTACAAAATGGAATAAATATTTTATTCCATAAAAGATGATGGATTTTATTCCATAGAAGATTATACTGTACATTGTAGCAAATACTATCTGATAAGAACCTCTGAACAATATTATATAACATATGTTTAAAATTGTCATAGTGTATTAGGCTAATCTCAAATGAAGCATGGTTTAATCTTACAATCAATATCTCAAGATAATTTGCCTTGCTAAAGAAAGTTGGTAAATGAAAAGAGATAATTGTTAATTATCCTGTCTTTAGTCACCACTGATAGTTCAAATTGTATGCCTTAAATAGGCTATTTTTAAAACTGAGTCCAAATCCTTATATATTCTCGGTCAATTTATTTGGTTGTTATGGTCAAGTTGACAACCAAATCTCAAGTAGTAACTGAGATTCAAGATATCTAGATAATGTTATACAAAATGAGGTAATTTAGGATTGATGAAAGTTAGCCCAGAGAAGAAATATTAAAAAGGGCAGAAAAATATAATAATATATTTTTCCTCAAAAGGACTTTTTAAAACCAAACCTGGCCCCAAATCTGCCCCAAGCAAGAGCTAGGCCCATACAAATGCAAATGTAAAACCATCAGAAAGTTGAAGCCAGAGCAATCAAGAAGACAAAAGAGAAGATCTGCATACCCCACCCAAACTCTAGGAGTCAGCCCCATCACCTGGGAAGCAGGATATGATAATAGAATTAAACCACAGATATCAAGGCCTAGACAAACACTCAGAAACAGCCTCAAGGTTCATGCCACAGGAACAGGAAACTATTCCAAACAAAAGGCTAGAGGGGGTATAAAAGCCTACTGCCCCATGTGCTCCTGCCCTTCTCTCTTCTCTCTCCTCTGCACTTTCCTGAAGAACCATCTTTCTGCAATAAACTGTAACCTTCTTCCCAAAGCAGTCGCCATGTTTGCTTATTTATTCCCGGCTTGGATGAACCAGGATGAAGACTTTACTTCTAACAGGATTGTTTTCCAAAAACCTGAGAAAATAAGTTTAGTGATCGTGAGGCGAGCAGCATCTACTGTATTTTTTTGCCCTTCTATTCAATTCTCAGAGACTGCCTGGACAAGTTCCTGCAGTTTTGTTGACAAGTTTTTTCAGAAGCAGTTTGCCACTGTCTTCTTCCTAGAGCAATATCTGCAGCTGAGATCATGAATTCCCCTATATTACATGACAAATTGCTATTTTTAAGATTTCACATCTGTCCTGTGGGAAAGGTCACTAATTAAGTCATGTCATATCAGAAGGCCTATATCTCTGCTAAAATGTTCTCTAATATTTTTTGCTTAGCTCTTAATGAATTGCTAGAAGAAAAAAAGATAAGTTGTTTAAAAAACTATAGGAGTAAAAATATTTTTGTGGTTTGACAAAATGGAAAAAATGCTCAGGATAGCAGCTCTGTTTGCCCACAGCAGAGAGAAATCTAAATTGAAACAGGAAAAAGAGTGTTAGTTTTATTTCTCAGTGTTTTTCATGGAATTGCCAAGATATTAAATAGGGCATTATTGTCAGTGCCAATAGTGAAACCTTGCAAAAATTAAGTTGGGCAGACAGAATTCCACTATTGAAAATGCACCTGTATCACAAGGACATCAGACAGAATACATTGAAAGCAAGTGAGATTATCATGTTTAATTGTGAAGAAAAATCTGACTATGAAAATAGTGACAAAACTAAAGAGTATCATGGTGAATCCATATTAAACCAGAGTCAATAATATAGTTCTGTCCTCATCTGCATAGTTGTCCAGGCAGTTTCTTAGAACTGGATCCAAATAAATGGAAGAAAAGAAATAAAAAAACGGATTTCATTTTTGGAGAAGGCTTTTTAAATTTGAAATTTCCTTCCATTAATATCTGTGGCACATTTCTTTTACATTCCAAGTACTATTGTAAAAACTTTGTTTCTTTTTTCAAATACTGTAGTTGCTACTTCTTTACTAGGTGTTGCTGTTGATTTTGCTCCACTGGGTACTTATCTCCATTTCTTTAAGCCATTGAGTTAGCATCGTCCAAAGATGTTTCTGCAGAACGGAAC